GTGACCCACAGAATTTTTTATCAATCGTCAACAATTTTGTCCGTGAAAATTTACAATTAGATGAAACAATCAAAGAAAACTAAATTTCACTTCAATTATGGCATGAAAATTTCTAGAAATCAAGAAATTCCTTCTCTCCATTCTGTCGCAAGTCCTCTCGATAAGAAATTATTTGCATCTGCTGGATGGAATTTTCCCTAGATACTTCCCCCTCCCCCCCCCGAATTCCCGTCGTTTATTTCTTCACCAGAAGAATTACCCCAATTACGGGAAAATGGAAATAGTTGAGTTGCCTGATGAATTCGTAGATGGCGAAACCCATTGATGGAGAGATTGAAAGGCATTTCCATTATCAGAGAATTCATTACGAACTAGCATTTCAAGTATTCAATTTTAACTCAACGCACAACTAGAATTTCACGATTTATCGTCATATTGGGCGCGAGAGAGAGAGAAAGAGATAGCGAGAGGCAGACATTTGGCTCTTTTTTCTCCTATCCAATTTTGTAAAATCCAATACCATCGGTTCATGCAGCTGGTGCATATGTGAATTGGGTGACCGTGTTAATACTGCTCGATGAAAGTACCCATCTCTACAGCATTGGTGGAATTTATTCTTTCAATCGATTTGCGGTCAGTGAAATTCATCACATACGTGAGAAAAAATTGTAATTACAAATTTAATCAGCATGCTGTTTTTTAAATGATATTGATTGTCAGTACTTGAGGGGATGAGAGTTTGGGAATGAATGAACTCCGAGGGAGTTTTTTTTATTTTTCAAAAAGTTTTTGTTGAAATTTTGAGGAATTTTGTGAGTGGAAATAATAAATTTCAATGAAAAGTCGATGGAAAGTGTAAATTTTTGTTGAATTATTCCATAAAAATTTGTTTAATTGAGGAAAATTCAGTGTCCTAAAGGAGGCGTGAGGTTCATGAGGGTCAGACTTGGGGTTCAATGAAGAGTCAAAATTCAATACTTCAAATTTTATACTCCATAATAAACTCTGATAATTCCATTCAAACTTCCATTTTCCCATTTAATCCATTCATCTCATCAATAAATTTTCCAATCTCCGAATTAATCGGTCAACTCGATTATTTCCAATTCCCCTAATAAACGTAATTACGCCGATGACAAAAAGCACTTAAAATTACTGTAATGGCCTCTTTTAATGACATTTTCGAACTAAAATGAACAGAATTGTCTTAATTCAAGACATTGTTACCCGTGCATGAGTAATAATTGAGTGATTCCCGATAGCAATGAGAAACTAATGATAAAAAAGATAATTCATGTTAATAAACTCGAACATCTTGCTCACAAAGTCGTAATTTTCATGCAAGACCAATCACGCAACTCCCCCTCAATCTCTTATTACTTTAGCCTCTCGGCAATAGAATTGCCATACCCTCTCCATCCACCAGAATAAGTGATTTTATTTAAAATTCCAGCAGTGTTCAACCTAATTAGTTTAACTCCACTCTAACAATTTATTAAGAAGGGAAAGCACCAGAATGAGACATATCTCTTTGCACAAGCTAGTCGTATCTTCCTCCCACTACTCGTCTAGTACGTGCTTGGAGAATTTACTTTCGTCAAGGGTTCTCTCGGTATTTTTCACCCGAAATTATCTGTGAGATTTTTTCTCCCCCTCTCCGAAGAGTTGGGAAAACTTTCGAGGGTAGTTTTCACCAAGTTTCTCGTTTCAGAAAATTTTTGAGGCTCGTCTAAACACGGTAATTTTGATGAAGGGTACTTCGGTTATTAATTCAGTTGAGAGCATGTGAAATTATCTGAGAAGATGAAAATTAACTTGTAAAATTCAGGGAAAAATATGAAAATTCCTAACTGATGGTAGATTATACTAAGATAATTCAGGATCAAGATAATTCAGGTAAATATATCCTGATGAAGTCGACAATTCCATTCTTTTCAGCATTATCCACTGATTGCAGAATCGCAACTGACCTGGACATTTTCACGAGATTACTTTCCCCAATTGCCTTCAAAGTGACGGTTAAAACGACATAAAAGAACACAGAATCAGCCCCCGCGTTTGTATTTAATATCACCTGATTATAAACTATTTAAATTGGGTCATTGTGAGCTGTCTCAAGACCAGCCCCTTTCATCTGTGATATATTATTCTACTCATGAAGCTGTCGTACCTCGTGACTCATTTATCATGCCTCTTTGTGCTGAAAAGTTCATTTGTGTTCTTTTTCTTCTTTCACTTTTTTTCATTTTGTTTCAAGGAAAAATTGCCACTGCTGCTCCAACGAGGGTGAGGAAATAAATTGTGAAGATCAACTCACGAGTTTTATATGATTACCTGGTGGATTATTGTCATATGATTTATGGAAGTGGGAAAATTGGGGCGAAGAAGTCACTTTTGGGGGTCTTTCATTTAATTGAGATTTTACAGACGTCATTTTTTCCCACTTTTAATTTGAAAAATGATTCAATTTTTGAATATTTCAATTTTTTGAGGCAATTTTTATTTTTACAGAAAAAATTTTTTTATGAAATTCTACAGCAGAGGGAGAATAATTGCCACATTCACGTGAAATTTTCAATTAATTGGCAATATTTTGCTTATTGGATCTTTATTTTTTAATTTTTTCCCCATATTTTTAAAATCTAAGAATATATTCAGCCAAACCTTCTGGATTCCTACAAATTTTCAAGGAATAATTCGCAGTTCCCACAGATATTGTCATGCCAAAATCATGAAATTTTCAGTATAAAAATTCCTTTTTTCTCAATCATTAAATAAAATCCCTCTAAATTTTCAGTCCCACGGTATTTTCACCCAGAGAAGAATCATTCTCCAACGAACCACAATAATTCTCCCTCCCATATCAACTCCATTAACCCCCGGACAGCTCAGAATACCCAAGGATTCACACCCTCCCCCCCCTCC